GCTTTTAGCTGCAGGTAACAGTGACTTTTAAGCAGTCAAGACCGTCAATTCTCTCTTGAGCTAGAATATGGAACCATGGCGATTCTAGTGTTGGTGTATGGCTTGAAAGACACCATTGAGAACCTGGACTCCTTACTTCTGCTTTGCCATTAGCCTTGTTTTTCAGGCTTCTACCTCATGGTCACAGAATGGCTGCTGCAGCTCTGGGCTTCATGGCCTCCCAGAAGAGCAGAAAGGGATGGGCATGGGGGAGGAGCTCTCCTCATGGTTCTCTCTCCTTTTACCATGTAAAATCTCTCTTGGAAGTATTATAGCAGACTTCCTTTGTCTCATTGGCTAAAACCACCTCCTGTAGCCACCCTAGTCCATGACTGATGAGAGAATTTGCTTGCCCTGATCTAATTCATCCCCGGGGCTGGTCTGCACTCAGCTGTATGCACTTCAGAAAAACAGAGGCGTGAGAGCAGGGCCGCTGCAGAGGCTGCCTCGTGGACCCAAGGTTCTGTGGCTAAGAGTTGTGTCTGCACGAGGCGGCCCTGTTACCCTGCAAAGGCCTGACTGTGTTCTTCACGTCCCTGGTGCAGTCGTGGACGGGAAAGATATTTCTGTAAGGAATGGCTTTACATTCCTAAACGACGAGGGAAGCAGAGGGGAGTTGGAAGTAGATGCAGCTGAATGGCAGCTGCGCCCACCGGTCCTTTGCCATCAAGGCCCCTCAGCTGAGCTGCCTGTTGTTGGGAGGAGAGATGGGGGATCGTGGTCAACGGGAGGCGCGACCTCCCCAGTGGACCAGTTCTGCTGCCTGTCCAGGCCCCAGCTTTGGGCACTCCTAAGGAGCAGGCTCTCTAAAGTTGTCTGGTAACAAGTTGGAATGTGTGTGTGTGAGCTCATTACTAAGAACCCCCTATGTGCCAGGCTCTTTGCTAGCTCCTGGGGATGCTGATGCAAAGGGACGAGGTCTGAGTCATTAAGAGGCTGGATGTTCTAGCTGAAGGGCAGACACCTGTAATGTAAACAAAGCCCTGTGACAGGTGTGTGTCAGGGGCCGGAGAGTGGGCGCGGCCCCCTCTGCCTGTGAGCTGAGCCGGAAAGGAGGTGACCTTTGAGACAGAGAGCAGCTGAGCCAGGAGGCCGCTGTGGGGAGCCACAGGCCGGGAACACACGGGGCGGTGGCCTGAGGCTCTGTGGGCCACATGGATAGGTGTGGGCTTGGTCCTGCAGCAAAGATTGGACACTTTCCATAGACAAGTCCTAGGATAACGTGTACCCAGTTACTTCCCAGCTGTCTTCCCAGAGATTAAGTAATGATTTTATTTCATCTTTTTTCAATACATTATGTCGAATACATACTAGGGACCACTTATGAATAGCAACTCTTTTGCAAGAATGTTCTGGAAAAACATCTATTTCTGCTTTATTGACTATGCCAAAGCCTTTGACTGTGTGGATCACAATAAACTGTGGAAAATTCTGAAAGAGATGGGAATACAAAACAACCGACCTGCCTCTTGAGAAACCTGTATGCAGGTCAGGAAGCAACAGTTAGAACTGGACATGGAACAAAAGACTGGTTCCAAATAGGAAAAGGAGTACGTCAAGGCTGTATATTGTCACCCTGCTTATTTAACTTATATGCAGAGTACATCATGAGAAACCCTGGGCTGGAGGAAGCACAAGCTGGAATCAAGATTGCTGGGAGAAATATCAATAACCTCAGATGTGCAGATGACACCACCCTTATGGCAGAAAGTGAAGAAGAACTAAAGAGCCTCTTGATGAAAGTGAAAGAGGAGAGTGAAAAAGTTGGCTTAAAGCTCAGCATTCAGAAAACTAAGATCATGGCATCTGGTCCCATCACTTCATGGCAGATAGATGGGGAAACAGTGGCTGACTTTATTTTTCTGGGCTCCAAAATCACTGCAGATGGTGATTGCAGCAATGAAATTAAAAGATGTTTACTCCCTGCAAGGAAAGTTATGACCAACCTAGACAGCATATTAAAAAGCACAGACACTACTTTGCCAACAAAGGTCCGTCAAGGCTATGGTTTTTCCAGTAGTCATGTATGGATGTGAGAGTTGGACTATAAAGAAAGCTGAGTGCTGAAGAATTGATGCTTTTGAACTGTGGTGTTGGAGAAGACTCTTGAGAGTCCCTTGGACTGCAAGGAGATCCATCCAGTCCATCCTAAAGGAGATCTGTCAGTCCTGGGTGTTCATTGGAAGGACTGATGTTGAAGCTGAAGCTCCAGTACTTTGGCCACCTGATGTGAAGAGCTGACTCATTTGAAAAGACCCTGATGCTGGGAAAGATTGAGGGCAGGAGGAGAAGGGGACGACAGAGGATGAGATGGTTGGATGGCATCACCGACTTGATGGTCATGGGTTTGGGTGAACTCTGGGAGATGGTGATGGACAGGGAGGCCTGGCGTGCTGCGGTCCATGGGATTGTAAAGAGTCAGACATGACTGAGCGACTAAACTGAACTGATGAATAGCAAAGTTTGTCTTTGCTATAAACTGTTGTTTTAGGCTAGCTGATAGCAAAACATCCAAAATGTGTATTATGATTTCTAGAGATTTTAAGTAAGAGTTAATGGTCTAAAAGTTACTTTAAAAAATTTAATATTTGCTACATTCTCTCCCAACTTTTATCAACTTTGCTGGGAGATGAGACAGCCAGGGATGCTCCCAGAATTGTTCTCAGCATTTCCCCAGGGAGTTCCGGAGTGGGAGGCGGGTGGGGTGGGGGACACAGTTCTTCCTGGGTGTTTGTGGGAGACCAGTCTTCTCGCCCAGAGCCACCAGGTGGTGCTGCCTGACTCAAGGGGCCTCCAGGCCTCACTTCTCAGGTTCTTGTTCAAGGGCATATCACACCTCGCCTTCCGTACTCTTTTTCTTTTTATATTATGCGTCTCCTTCTAACACACCATGTAATTTACTGACTGATGTTTGTTGCTCATTATGATCTCTCCCCCTACTAGAACTAAGTCCCTGAAGAGCAGGGGTCTTTGTAGGTTCTGTTCCATTGGGTATCTTGACCCCCTATGTTTGTATCTTGTAGAAGATCTAGACTCAAGGTGGGTATCTGGGTAATCAGAAAGCAGCCTTTAAGAATTTGCCACTTGGGACTTCCCTGGTGGTCCAGTGGCTACAACTCCATGCTCCCAAACCATGGGTCCAGGTTCGATTCCTGGTCAGGGAACTAGATCTTGCATACTACACCTAAAAGATCCTGACTGCTATAACTAAGAGCTGGCGCAGCCAAATAAATATTTTTTTTAAAAAATTGCTACTTGCTCTCCTTGACCATGATTTGTCATCAGACAGAGGTGAGTTAGTAAGAATGAAAATCTTGGAGCAAAGCTGTTTATACATTTGACTGTCATCAGTGTTGCAGACAAAAGCCCCTAGTGCCCTCCGAGTGTGGACCTGAGGTTGTTGGGGTCAAGGCCTGGCACAGAAAGCAGAGATGGTGGGGTGCTCTGAGTTTGCTGTAACAGACCATGTCCTTTTGAACAGGTATAAGAGTCTGGTCACTGGGGCCCGAGCGAGAGGAGTTATTGCTGCCCTCTGGGTCCTGGCGTTTGGCATCGGCCTGACGCCGTTCCTGGGGTGGAACAGCAGAGAAAGCGCCATCAACTGCACGGAGCCGGGCGACAGAGCCGTGAACATGAGCTGCTGCCTCATCAGGTGTCTCTTCGAAAACGTGGTGCCCATGAGCTACATGGTGTACTTCAACTTCTTCGGCTGTGTCCTGCCCCCGCTGCTCATCATGCTGGCCATCTACGTCAAGATCTTCCTGGTGGCCTGCAGGCAGCTGCAGCGCACAGAGCTCATGGACCACTCGAGGACCATCCTCCAGCGGGAGATCCACGCGGCCAAGTCCCTGGCCATGATTGTTGGCATTTTTGCCCTATGCTGGCTGCCAGTCCACGCCATCAACTGTGCCTCGCTCTTCCAGCCAACCTGGGCCAAGGAGAAGCCCAAGTGGGCGATGAACATAGCCATCCTCCTGTCGCACGCCAACTCAGCCGTCAACCCCATCGTCTATGCCTACCGGAACCGAGACTTCCGCTACACTTTTCACAAAATCATTTCCAGGTATGTCCTCTGCCGGACGGACATCCTCAAGAGCAGGGAGGGGCAGGCAGGGTCGCAGCCCACTCTCCAGCTGGGCCTATGACCCAGGCTCTGGCCTCTTCCAGGAGAGGGCTCAATAACAAAGGGACGGGGCACGCTTGGCCAGTTCTCACTGGAAAGACAGCAACCCTCACAGGCCAGCCGGTTGCCTCTTCTGGGCGCTTCCCTGAAGGTTCCATGTACCTCGTTAACATGTGACTACTACTTCCTGAGGTTGACAAATGTATTTATGGTTCTCTGGCTGCTTTGTGTGGATGATGCTGACGGTGTGAATGGATTGTAAAAGTATGTTTTGCTTTTTTTTGTTTAAGAGTCTGCTTCATTTATGGTAGAAAATGATCAAAGCTATTTTACTGTGACATACTGTGAACTATTATAATACAAATATTTTTTTAACTTGGAGGCAATGGGAAAGGTTGGACATGTTAAAAATAGTACTTGTTCTGAGGAAGGTGACCAGGAAAAGTAAAAGTATCAATCTTCAACCAAGAGACTGCTGTTTTAGGGAAATGACAGGCTTGTAAGTTCTTAGGTAGAACATCATCGCAGGCTCAACAACATTCTTATCCATGTACAGCACCCCACCCCAGAAGAAGCTGTAGAAGCAGGGTCCTCCACTACCAGGCTCCAATCCCCTTCCAGAGCTAGGTGGTGATTTTTACGTCTCTCGCAAGTTGAAGTTTGGCCATGATGCTGGACCCCAAAGTGAAAATTTTACTAAGGTGGGTTATGTAATTGTGTTTCTGTATGAGGTAAAATAAAAATAAAACTTAACAAAAGCTCTGGGTGTTGTGCCAGCTTGCTGCAGAGCTCACCTACCTTCTGTTCCGTATCCTGAAATAAGTTCACACCCAGGCCCTTTTCCTGAGTTGAGCCTTGACAGGTTTTATTTGCCACACCATCGCCTAGGAGACAGCTGTGCCAACCACAGAAGCTTGTGCCGTTGTGACCTTTCACACATTCATTCCTTAGCACCTCCTGTTTCAGGGGTACAGGGTTGGGAGTACCTAGGCTCCAAGACCATCCACTTTGCCTGTCTGGTGGCTGGCTCAGCTCCTCCTGCAGTAACCCTGCAAGGACGTGAAGCCCCAGAAAGACGGGAAAGCTTGTCCAAGGACCCAGCTGTGAACGGTTGTCCCCGAGGGAGGTGCCTGTCCTGTCTCAGCTCCGTCTCGTGTTCATTTCCATCACAGCTCCTATGCTCTCTCTCAGGATCCAAACGAGTCCTATTCCTCTCCCGCCTCACAGCCTCTGGAGATCTGCCTTTTCTCACTCGGCCTGGAACACCTGGCAGCATGTCTGGCTGCCTCCCTCACCCGCTTGTTACGAAGCTCAGAAATACTCTGAGCAGACCTGCACTTCCTTGTTCTAGGTGCTGCCTTTCCAACAGCCCAGCCTATTTAAGCAACTGCTTGGCCTCAACACTGCAAATGTCTGGAGCCTGCTGAACCCAGCAACCCCAACGTCTCTTTATATCTGCTGCTGTTACAGCCACATCTGTGCTCTGACCTTTTACTGCAGAAAGACTTTCTGGGCCCAAGAAGAAGAACTAACGCTTGTGCATCTAAACCATCGTACTGTCTCCTCTCCCATTCTAACCTCTTAAGAAGGACTAGGACTTCGGTTGTTTGAAAATCTAACTCACTGTGGATGCGACTTAATGTTAGGCTTTGGAGTCTAAGATGCTTGATTACATCTGGAAATTTTCTACCCATGGAGCCTGGAGGCTGGATTTTTCACGAGGGCTTCACGCCATATACACGTCCTGGGTCTGGAGTCCAGGGCGGAAGGGGACACTACTGTGAAGTCTAGTCCACATCTCCTTTATGTGAACCTCGCGTGACAGGGCACGTGCATCTCTGGACGGGACTTCTTCTTTGAAAGATGGTCAGTGATGCTCCATCTGCACTTTTATGCTTCCTGTGTCTTCTCCGCTGACAGTATGTCAGTCAGTTGCTTGTCAGAGACACTCAGCTGCTGACAGGTCCTCGTGACCTGACTCAGGTAAACTGCCAAGAGGTGCTTGCACTAGAATAGACAACACGCAAGCCAGTTAGAAACAGGGAGGGCCAGGCTTCACAGAGCAGGAAAGGAGTGGGGCACACACATCAGGGGCCTGGAACCCACTGCCTAGAACCGCAGACCAAGGTTAGACAGGTGTCTACTCTAGCAGTCTGGTGGACAAGGAGGTTTTATCAATACTTGGCCTGCTCTTTGGGGCAACACTGTAGATCCAGCAGGGACAGGTGAAATCAAGTGAAAACCAAGACAGGCTCTTTATGTCAGTCCTAATCATACTTCTTTCTTCCTTGCCCTTAGAAAGCTGTTAACAGCAGTGGCTAACGTTCTTCAAGGTACAGTGTTGCTAAGATTATCTCAAAGATTATCTCATTTAAATCTGACAGTCCCCTGGGGGACAGGGTTTACCTTCATTTTACACATCTGCACCAAGTCTACAAAAGGGGACTAGTCCTTAACCACTGGACACCAAGAGCAGGGATGGCGGGACCCTCACTGTTTCGCCTGTCCCTCTCCGAGGCATGATCTGTGCTGGACCTCACACCGTGGGGCACACCACTCGGGCTGCTGAGGGCCCGGCTCCAACCCTGTCATTTTTCAGGTGAGATCACTGAGTGAGGCTCCCTGCCAATGGGAAAACCCACTTGCCACCTGCTTCCTGACAGGTGTGACAACTGTGTAAAGAAAGGGGAGCGTGGGGCAGATGCTGTAATTCTCTCCCTTGGCAAGACTGGAAAGATCCTCCCCACCCTCAGGTGGTAGTGGTTCTCCTGTGGACTCAGGACGGATGTGAGGAGGTCTCGTTCCTGCCTGATGCTCTGGGCTCCTGAGATCGGCCGAGGCACCAACATGCTTTGCTGCCCCTGGTGAAAGTCAAGCGAGGCTGAGCACCAGGCTGTCCACGGGCAGTGGGAGAAGCGCCTCGTGGCTGGAGGTTGGGGCACGCACTGTTGCCAGTGTCCAGTTTGGCTCATGTTTTTACTGGGCCTGATAACTACCCAGGTGCCAACTCTGGGGATTACTTGCTGCCCTCCTGAAGCTTCATCTCTGACCTTTTAAATTAAAACAGGAAACTGGCATAGTTCTAAAAATGCCCCTGTGTTTTGGGAGGGTAAAGCCAGAAGAGATGACTGACTGAAGTCAAGGACAACGAACTACCATCTGTTTCCACACAGAGTAGACCCCACGTAGGGCGCAGAGCGAGGCTCCCCGTGCCCCCTGCCCCGCCACCAGCTCGGCCATGGCCGAGGCCCATCCATCCTCACCACGAGGCTGTCCCCCTTCCGCAGCACGGAGAAGGCGAATGCCGGGCACGAGCAGTAGTGGCAAGAAGCCAGACATGTGTACGTTCTCCCGGAGCTTCCAAGCACCTGGAAAGGGGAGGACAGGTGGAGTCAGACCTGGAAAGGTGAGCGGGAAAACCACTACTGCCCTTGAGTGTACCTTTGTGAGGGCGCAGGGCTGTTCTCCGAGGGCCTACCTGCCCATGGGACCCTCCTGCTGCCTCAGTGCCCTGCCCTTGACAGCGCCACATGCAAAACAGAAGTGTCTCGGGTGGGCTGAACCCTCCACACGAACCACTGTTTTTCTGCCTGGGGATGCAGAGGGTTGACTAGAGAAAGAGAGAAGGCTCCCTGCACTGTACTTTATTGTTGTGTTTCTCAGCCTTTGCAGTTATTTCACAGCATGTGTGTGAATGTTTAAAGCCTCCACCACACTCCTAGCAGGAGTCTGAGGACAGGAAAGGCCCAGTAGGGAGTGGGAGGAACACGTGGAACAGAGACTCCTGTAACGGGGTGACTCAGCTGCCATGGGAACGGCAAGTCCAGGTCTGCTGGCTCACCTAGCAGGACGGGATGAGGGCACGGACCCGGGAGGGCTGGCAGGAGGTCACATTCAGAGCCAACGGCCTTGCTGTCAGTCAGGAGACACAGGGGACCCTGTGTTTGGAGGGTGGCTGGACAGACCTAGAGGAATGGCTCATCTCCGTCCTCACCCCCCAGGTGCCGAGACAGGAAGTGGAGGGCTTTGTTCCTCATGTCCCAGTGGAGTAAAGTTACTATCCCAGGGACCTAGAGACCCCCTGCAGTGGGTCAGGGACAGGGAACTGCCCCTGGGGGATGTGCCCCAGGGCCTTCACATTTGTTTCAGGCTCTGAGATGACAACCTACGTGGAAAAAAGGAATGTCAGTGCCCCTAGAATTGTTTCCTGTTTTCCTCACACAGGTAAGACTTCCACTGAAAAACAGCAATGTTGAGTCAGGTGTTGTCTCTCCAGCATTTCACCTGGTGCAGGCATGTCGCTATGGGTTTTTTTTGCCAAGTCAGGAGGACTCCTTGGGGGCTGCAGGATGACCAGAAATGGCCGGTGACTGGGTAACAGGATGCCTACTGAACCCATTACACATTTCAGCCCCATTACAAACCGGATATTAAGAAAGTCACACCACATGTTTCCAGTCATGAGGCGCTGACGTGTTGAAACTGGTGAGGGCTAGGGGTGCGAGGAGGAGCTGCCCTTTGCTGAAGGGAGAGCATGAGAGCAGACTGGTTCCCACTCAGTCCCACAAGAAAACCCACCAACGTCTGGCAGGGACACCAACAATTCTTGGGTCGCTAAACCATTACCAATGGTTTCTTCTTCTCTCTAGATTTATGGTTAATTAGGCACAAGCCTGTTGGAGAAGGAAATGGCAACCCACTCCAGTATTCTTGCCTGGAGAATCCTAGGGATGGGGGAGCCTGGTGGGCTGCTGTCTATGGGGTTGCACAGAGTCAGACACGACTGAAGTGACTTAGCAGCAGCAGCAGCAGGCATAAGCCTCTGGGATTCTACACAGACTGCTTCCTCCTTATGGTGGGTCCCCAGCCAATTACTCTCTGCACGAGGCTGAGTAAGTGCCTGGTCACTCAGGGGTGGGGAGAAGTTCTGCAGAAGTTCCCTGGCTGGGACTCAAAACATGCAGCCGCCCAAGGCGGTGAATACGGTAAAGAGAGTCACTTCTCAGTTGGCTTCTCTATCTAGCAGTGGACAACTAATGAACCTGATAATCGGGCAGAGATCTGAGTCAGATGTGTTTGGAGCTGAAAACTGACCTCAGGGACTGTCTAATTCAACCTTTGTGGAAAAAACCACCTCCTCTTACAGGAAGTGCTCCAAGCTCATCCATTCGGAGCCAGGAGTGTCAGTCCCAGAGGGGAGCCTTTACAAAAGGAATGCAGGCAGGAGGATACTCAGACCCAGGCTGGACTTGCCCGCACCGCCCTGGGAGGATCTGCTGCAGCTACAGTGAGGCTCTAAGGTGATGGGCCCACTGAACAGTCATCCACCCACAAGCACAGTTTACTTTATGGCTGCTCCAAGCCCTCAGCATCCGTCACAGTGGTGAACTGTATACGATTCACCGCTCCCTCTCTTGGAAAGAGGATGTTATGTCCCTGCCCTGATACATACAGGCTGACTATGTGACCTGCTTTAGCCAGTAAAGTGTGACTGGCCAGGCAGAAACGTTCAACATGGATACCTACGATATCCTGACTTCCCTCTGCTATGAGATCCACAGTGTCCCAGACACAGGCTGCTCCATCGCTTGGGATCCTGGGCCACGATGTTCTGGATCAAAGCTGCAATTGGCTCTCAATGGAGATGGACAGGGAGACATCTCTGTAGCTTTCAAATTTAGGGGTCATTGTTACAAATTTAACTTGGCCCCTCCTGACTGACGCAGTCCCCTTCCTAGGAGGACTGAAGTTTATCAAAAAGGGACTCAAGTGACAACATGAGTGTGACTTCAGGGTAATTACCACCACACCTGGAGGAGGTGAGAACGTTAGAAGGTCAACCTATGGAATGACAACTAGCTGGGTAACAAGGCAACATCTGACTCAACCTTTATCATCTTACAGAACCTCTGAATTAAGCCAAATTCTTTCCATATTACTACATAGAGTGAAACCACTGAGGTTAATTGGAGGGTGTCTGTAAGGTTTCTACAACCTCATTTAATTCAAAGTCCAACACAATTCTAAGAATTTTGCATTTTTACGATGAATAAAGCAACATGACATAATACAGAATGTGAATGATGAAAACTAGAACAAGTCACGGTGATCGTGGGAGGAATAATAAGTCAAGAATAACTGAAATATTTCCAACACAGTCTTTGAGATTTTAACTAACAGCAAGATCATGCTTGTGCGGGTCAAGTGTTCTGCTGATGTTGGAACTGAGACAAGAGAATCTGAAACTAAAAGACACAGGAAAACTCAGGAGCGCTTTTTGACAAGGATACATTAGCTACATAAAACCCAAAAATAAATACACTAGCAAAGAAAATGGAAATCTTTCCTCAGGTACAAACAACATTGCTTAAGAATTCTGATTCTTAATCTATGACATTCAGCAACAGAAAATTCTAATAAGCAGCCTCTTCTGAGTAAATACAGAAGTTTTAACTACAGCATTCAGCACTAATCACCCCAGCTTACTTCAGGCAGAAACGCATGAGGACGTGCCAGCTGGCTGCACCACCCTACTGCATGGAAAAGCGAGTTCATGGGCCAAGTCTTCCATGTGCCCGAGAGGCTTTGCTCAGTCCCTTGCTAAAAATGAATCAACACGGTCTCAATTCTGAGACAGTCGTCATAAATAAACCAGAACCCAAACGCTCAAAAGTTCTGCCTTTCCTGGTCTTCAACAAGGCCAGGATCTCATACAAGGGCTGATGGCTGCTGCTTCTACCCCTTCCATACACAAAATTTTGGAGACCACTGCCAACATTTTTATTTCATTCACAAGATCCCCTTCTCTGAATCCCAGCTGGCGTACCACGTCTAACGTGGCTAAACTTGGGGTTTGGGAGGCAGAGAGTCTGGCCCACTGTTGACACCGAGACAGGCAGGACCGGCTGCCAGCTATACAACCCTGCTGCCGTAGGGGACAGTTAATTTTCTGCATCTCAGTTTTCAGCAAAATAAATATCTTTCCGGGCTTTTGGTGAGAATTAGCAATACATGAAAGTAATTCAGTGTCTGATACAAGTCCGATTTGTACTTTACAAACCTGCCTACCTTAAGGTCCGCTTGAACTAAGGTCCAAGTAAACTGCCCACATTCAGCACAGTGTGGCCTTCGTGAATGCTTCCAACAACAGTTCTGACAGATCATTTCTATTAGATGAACCTTGACATGCGAAAGGACCTTAAAATGCATTTTGGCTTTTGCTTGTAAGCAAGAGACAAGGAACAGGGTGATCCCTGTAGTGTCAAATGACAGAAAGGGAAGTTGGCTGTGTCCATCAGACCTGGGCAAAGAGCCTCCCTGGATCATTGCTGGTTCCACACACTGCTCCCAGGTGGGGTTAACAAGCCACATCTATCTGACTCTAACTACTCACACCCTCATTTCACTAAGTTGGGTCAAGTCCTTTCAACCATCCACCAGCTTTCATACAGATTCATGAAAACATCTGTCCTAAGGGGATCTGGTTGAGATTACTCCACCTCTGGGTTTCTACCTGGTAAACACGCCTCCCGCTGGGCGAGGAGATTAAGGTAACGGACTGGTGGTCAACTAGGTCCAAGGCCTGGACGGCTGATGAGCCGAAGACAAATTTCAGCCTGGGAAGGAGAGGAGCCTCAGGTTAGATGATAGACTGAAAGCTACCTCTCTGACTCGACCCGAAAGATTACCATCAGCAGCTTCTGAAAATTTAATTCAGAAAAAAACATACAGCAAAATCCCACATAATCAACCGCCCAGAATAAATGTTAACATATTGTTTATAAAGAAGCCTCTTTATATGTCAGAGGCCTTCCTGTTCTTCCTCAATTTCTCCATCCTCAAGGCAACCACACGCATTTCATGTTAATGTTTTTATATTTTACTATACATAGTACATATGTGTATGTGCATACATACACACACATATACATATGGTGATGTTTTTTAAGTTTAAAACATGAACAGTATATTCTGGGCTTTTTGGGCAACTTTTTTTCACATTCAGTGTGCTTCTGAGAATGATGCATATATATGTGTGTGCATGTGCACATGTATATATATATACACAAACATATTTTAAAATTTAACTTTTGTATAATATTCTAGTGTACGTACATAGTACATTTTATTTCTTAACTACTCTTAGCCTCTTACTCAGGAAACAGGCCTCCCCCGAGCACTGTATGTGTAAGAGTTGTTCAAGGGTCAAATGTCCTTCTCTTTTCATGTGTTAGTAGTGTAAGAGCTACAACTTTTAGAACGACGTTAAAATACAGTGGCACTTAGGACAATAAGGGAGTGCCTTGTACTGTCAAGTACAGTGTTGGTTACTCACTTGAGACAGATTTTTAACAATTACATCAATAAAATATTGTTCCTAGCTTAGTAAGAATATCTTCTAAAAATAAGAGTTGGTGTTGAAAGAACTGGCCTTTAAAAACACACATTAGTGGTTTATAAAGAACCCCAAATACAAAAGAATATATACTTACGATAACAGATGCTCATCAGGAACTGTAAAACAGGAATGGAAAGTAAGTGAATTGTGTTAAACCAGTGACCATAGACAAAAACATTTTAAAAAGGCTATTATAGCCAAAAAGACTTCTGTGTAAGATGATGAATTGAACCTATGCATCAAATTTTACTCCTTCCCAATATTCCACTTAACAATAATAAAAGAATTTTCTAAAATGCATAAACTCTCAAGGATGAGGACAGGGAGAAACACAGCTAAGATATGTTGGAAAATTATTTACAAGACTTGAGAAAACTGAAACTTAAGCTAGCAATAGGAGAGCCAAGCAACAACCTGATTTACACTGCAGACTCTAGTACCCTCGTTCCCTAAAAAAAAAAAAAAACCCTCCAGAAATTGGTGGCACCAGATGGCTCTGAAGTAGGAATGAAGCAGGAGGGCTAAAATAAGACTCTTTGAAAGTAAGTTTACGAAGTTGGAAGGTAGTAGAATACTTTAAGATGTCTGAGGAAATATTTCCAACATATAATTCAATAATACCTTGTCAAACTATCAATTAAATCTCGGGATAGGAGAATATGTGCTCTATAAAATAAGACAGTAAACTGAGAAAAAGAAAATTGTAGGGTATACTACACATTAAGGCCCAAAGTAGGTGAAGGGAATTCCCGATAGTACTAGTGGGGGCAGATCTCAGGAGAGCAGCCTGGATGCTCTAGGAGAGGAGAATGAGATGGACAGAACACCTCAGCATCTTGAGTAGAAGATTTAGAACCCTGGTAAGAGTTTGAAGTTGAATTATGGATGTGTGTGTGTGTTTGTTAGTCACTTAGTCGCGTTCGACTCTTTGCACCCCTAGGGACTGTAGCCTGCCAGGCTCCTGTCCATGGAATTCTCCAGGCAGGAATACTGGAGTGGGTTGCCATTTCCTTCTCTAGGGGATCTTCCTGACCCAGGGATCAAACCTGGGTCTCCTGAATTGCTGGCAGATTCTTTACCATCTGAGCTATAAGGAAGTTATTGAATTAGGGATAAATATATAGAAAAGTAAACAACCAAACAAATGCAATCATGACAGTTTTGAGAGAAAGCAAAGTTACAGTAAAGAAGTAGTCATCACTTCCTATATGGCTCAGCTGTGACTAGATTTTACATCATCATACAAGTGTAAACTCAGAATACTGATCTAAAGAAAATTATCGTCGAAGGAGGGGGCTCAGGAGAGTGTATGACTGTCTAAGTACAAAGATTTCTAAATAGCAGAAAACCGCTCTGAAAAACGTGAACCGGTGATAGTGGTCTCGATGAGCCCCAAGCCTCAGGGGCGCCCCCTTCAAGACTCTCACACTGTTCTCTTCACACACAGCCCTTTCTGGCAACCACTGTTTGAGCTGTCAACAGACTGGCTTTTCCCCCAAGCTTTTTGAGATTAGAGGATGTTCGAATACCTGGCTCGCCTCATCTTTTAAGCACATGTACTGCTTTAGATTTAACTGAAATGAGAAAAGTTGGCTTCCCCCTCTCAATTCTTTAAAAACAGTACGTCAAGGTAAATCCTTTTCAAAGTGCAGTCCTTTGCAAACAAACGCCGCCCAAGTGAACCAGCAGGGGAGTCCTGAGGCCTAACCGATGTATTCGATGGTCATTCAGATGCCGGTGGCGCAGCTCTGAGGACGCGCTCTGAAGCCCCGTGCGCTTGCGGCCAGGGGATGCGGGAGCGTGGTAACAGAGCATCCTCTGCTGGTCAGAGGAATAAAGGCACAGCCACAGCGTCCAGACCCCTCAAGTCCTGCGTCTGCGGCCCTGAAACAATCACTCGTGCACAGAGGTCAGGAGGGGAACCGTTTGGAACGAACACAGACTGCGAGAAGGAAGGGCTACAGGCGAGTTGAGAGGGCGGAGACCTCCCCAGTGGGCCCGGACCCCCGAACCCCGTCCCGCCGGCGCTGCCTCCCGCGCCCCCGCCTGTACTCGGCGCGCCGTCCCGCACCGCCGCCGCCATCTCGCTCAGCAGCTCCTCCACCACGGCTGGCAGCGTGAGAGGCCCAGTCGGAGCCGCCATGGCAGGTCCCGCGTTTTCCGGGGCGGGGGAAAGGGGAGAGGTGACGTAGTTTGCGTCCCGGCGCATGCTGGCGGCCTGGCCAATCGGCGGGCTTTCGGCGCCAGGGGAGGGACTTCCGGAGGCCGTGGCCGCAGTGCGCAGAGGACGCGCGGGCCGCCATGTACCGGCTTAGCGCTCGCCTGGTCCTCGAGGCCCGCGGAGGCGGAGCAGGAGCGGCGGGGCGCGGGCGGGGCTGCGGCCGGGGACGCCGAGGCCGAGGCCGAGATCATCCAGCTGCTGAAGCGAGCCAAGGTGAGGGGCCGCGGCGTGCCCCCCGGCTACGGGGACCCCTGTGGACGGAGTCCTGAGGTCCGCCTGCCGCGCGTCGGGCGCAGGTGGAGGCGGCGCTACGGACCGCGAGGTTGGCGAGCGCGGGGAGAAGTGCACACAGGCTGAGGGGAGCGGGGCGGGCCTCTTCTTCCTGAACGTTTTCTCCTCTTCCCGGGGTGCCGGGCCTCCTTCTTCGGGCTGACCGTCGCCTCGTGCCCGACGCGTCCGCACCTGTGCCCGCAGACGGCGGGTGCGGCCCGTGTGCCAGCTCCATTTGGAGGCTTCAGCCGACCCAAACGAACCTGTGGTCTTAGGCACCTCCCCTACCCCTTCCCTCAGTACCTCTTCTTTTATGTAGCCTGCCCCGTTTTCCTGTCTGGACGCTCCATGGTCATTCTGAGAACTTGTACCTAACTATCACCTCCCAGATACCGAGAACCCAGCAACGAATTTTTGGATTTTGCCACCAAATCCAAAATACTTCTCAAACCTGTCGCGTCTCTGTCTTCTGCTGTCACCCTGGCCACGTTGCCACAGCCTGCAGTCTTTTCTGCCCGGTTGCCCCCCTGCCATCCCGACTCAACAGCAACTGGAGCGATCATTTAAATGTAAATCAGCTGGTGTCATTCCGTGCCCACAAGCCTTGGATGACCCGTCACAGCGTTTGTGGTAGAACCCAGACTCCTTGCCCTGGCCGGTGAGACCTATGGTCCCACCCCATTGCCTCCCTACTTCGCAGTAGCAGTCACTATCCTCGGTTCACATCTGTTCACTTTCATTGTTTGAGTGGTTCTTGAAGATCCGTTTTCTTCAGCCTGGAGCACCTTTGCTCATTCCCCGTTTTCTGTTTGGGTCAATTTTCTCCCACAGTTCCTTACTTGGTTGGCTGTTTCTCTTCCTTTTTACTTCAGTTTAACTGTCGCTTCCTTGGGCGGCTTCTCTTGACTCCCATTTGAAGGAAACCCCTTGTTCCTTTCTCTTGCTTTTCTTCACAGCCTGTATCATTGGTTGTGATTGAGCTCACCTGTCCTGCAGAAAGAGCGGAGGAGGATGTAATGCCAGCAGCTCCTTTATAAAAGCTCGGGAAAGGTGCTCAGGATCCCGCTGCCTACGTCTTTCAGCCAGTGTGCTATATTATGGCCATGCGGAGCTGCAGGGGAGCCCCTCTCCAGTTGAGATTGCAGACACCGTGCCTTTGCACAACAGGGATTCAATAAATGTTTGAGGAATGAATGACTAGCTTCGCTCTGTGTACTGGGACACGTAGCGGTACTTGCTTCTGTCTGGCAGTGCATGTCTCTGTTCTTTTTGTGTTTCATTTTCTTTTATTTTGTTTTCTCTTTTCAGTTGTGCATCATGAAAGATGAGCCAGAAGAGGCAGAGCTGATTTTGCATGATGCTCTTCGTCTTGCCCACAAGAGTCACAACACAAAAGCCATTGCTTACACTTACGACCTGGTAACTCCTCTGTCCAGTCTGAACCGCCGACGATGGTGCAGAAGGGCTGTTAGTGCTCCTGATTAGTATTCCTCACCTGCAGGCTGTCTCTCTGGGTTTTGTTTTCACTAAGTTTTCTTTAGCTTTCAATTTTTATTACCCTTGGACTGTCATGTTTAAGAAACCTCAACCCCAGACTGAAAAGAAACAATTATCATTAATGTTTGTGTTCTCAGTGAAGAGTGGATCTAGATTTGTCATCATCAAAGTCTATGCATGTACTCTCAGCCCATTGCTGGACTTTGCTTCTAGCAGATTAGTGACAATTTCTGGCCTGTTTTTTTTTAGATAGAAGGTGAAAGCAAAGGGGAGTTTTTAATGTAAAGATTTTGAAGTAAGTGAAAAGACAGTGCTCTAAACTGAAAAACAACTTGTAATCTGCTTTCAGATGGCGAACTTAGCATTTATAAGGGGTCAGCTTGAAAACGTAAGTAAATCATGTTGTAATGTTAGTCTCAAGGGACCTCTGCACATAAGGGTACAGGCTAAGCTGCTGTGACAGAGACCCCAAGATAAAGTGACTGAAATAAGAGGGAAGCGTATCCATTTAATGCATTAGTCCAGAGGCGGCTGAACCCTGAAGAGGGGTGGGCACTTCTACCCCATGAAGTGACCCAGGAGCCCAGGTTCCTTCTAAGATGTATTTTCGCCTGAGTACAAGCGCTGGCTCATCTCCAGCTGTGGGCAGGGAGAGGATGGAGGACCAGCAGCATCCTTGTGAAGTACGCTGTTGAGGCTCTTCGTGTAAACTACGTGCATCTCTTGGCCGCAGTCTCCTCATATGATCACACCTGAAATGCAAAGGAAGGACCCTTGACCTGGTGGAAACTGAGGAGACTGTACTTGAAAAGATGGATAGGAGAGTGACTGTTAGGGGTAGTTTTCAGTCTCTGCCGCAGTGGGTTTGGGTGGGAAGTTGATCTCTGAAGCTGGTTCTACACATCACAGAGTCGTTTTCAAGGTACCCAGAGGATGTGGGGTCCCAGTATTTTAGTCTGTTTTTCCCACACAAGGTTACCTTTCTCTGTGTATGTGTGTTTTTCGAGGAACGCTGCCTCAGACTAAGAATGCAGGGTCATCTGGATATGGGGCCCAAATAAAAGAAAAAAATCTCTTCATTATGATTTTAGGCAGAAAAACTTTTTAAAGCAACAATGAGTTACCTGCTTGGAGGGGGCATGCAACAGGTAAGGACATTACATAGTATTACACCCTAGCTGAAGCAGTTTTCAAAATAGCCTTGTGTCCTAGAAACTCCACCCAGTCCTCACATGTGTTTTGACCAAGAAGTTGGGATTTTCCCCCCTAAGACCAGTATAAAAACTGCCAGTCTTTCACTCATGCAAAAGCATGACGCCTGATTCCTCCAAAAACATCAAAACTATGGCTTTCAGGATGTAGTCAGTCTAGAAATTAATCTGAAATACGAGGAAATTTTATGAGGAAATTTTACTTGTTATGAACTAACTTCCTGGAAATTTTATTTGTTATGAACTAACTTTTTCTTTTACCAATAGGAAGACAATGCAATCATAGAGATCTCCCTAAAGCTGGCCACTATTTACGCTGCTCAGAGTAGGTAAGTGTAGTCAGAGTCTGGGTGTGGGGCAAGGGCTGTGGGTCAGAAACTGACCCTGGAGTGTCACAGTTTTCATCCTACTAATCACCTGGGTATCCACAATCTCAGCTGTCACACTCCTGGTGTCCTGTCCCTCATCTTTGAGATCTTGAGCCTTTTCCAGTTTTGCCCCTCCTGTGTCCATGAGCATGCCCAGTAGGGCCTGTGGCCCTCGTCCCTGTGGTGCACCATGACAGGCCTGGTCATGTGTTCTATTCCTGCTTGAACTGGGAAGTTGTTAGAACCTTAGTTTTGCTCTTCCTAGGAGAGCTGGGAGCAATGCAAGAGTGGCCGGGAGTGGCATATTTTGCTGGTGGAAGTATCAACAAAGCAGGAAGTTGGGTACAGGTTACATAATGAGAGAGTTGCTGTGAGAGGGTGTCAGTGGCTCGTCCGGTGGGTGGTTTGTAAAGGCTGTAGAGGTGATGGGGTGGCTAGGTTGTAGCAAGGTGGCAGCGAGGCATGGGATAGAGACCTTTGGACGAGTGGGACAGGAAAGCAGTGCTACTTAAAGAGTATTGGGTGAGTCTAGATTCTTACACAGAAGAAAAAGTCTGCCCAGGTACCTAGGAAAGGCTTTGGGAAACCTTTTAGATGTGTGCCAAAGGTCAGGGACACAGATAGAGAGGCCTGGAGCATTCACTGTCTAGGTGAAAACTCGGAGGATGTAAGCAGAGGACTCCTGGAGGGTTAATTTGGGGTAAATTTAAGGGAAGACCTGGCTTCTCCTTAGCCCTTGAGTTGCTGCAGGAATTGGGTACTACAAGTTTTGAGTGGTACCTAGCCCAGTGCTATAGGAGAAGTGCTCACTGCAGCCAGAGACCCTGGCACTGGCACCTGCAGCCCGAGTGGTCCACTCCTTTGTTCTTGGGGGGACCCAGTCCATCTCCTGGCATTTGGCTGGACCAGAGCCTCAGGGCCTCTGACTCCAAGTCTGTAGAGAAACTTTGAGGTTGGTTCATGCCAGGGAGCATTGCAGCCGGGTTAATCTTTCTGGACGGGTTACAGACAGGACCAGATGTTGGTGGGTGTGGATCCCTGGGTTGAGGAGAAGCCCAGAGATGGTAACACTGGACAAGTGAGAGACACCCACGATCTCTCAAGAGGTGAAAGCTGTGCGGTACCTACAATAATTAGCCCATAAGTTCCCCTGCTCAGAGGTGTTCTCTCCTGATGACTAAGAACGTCTTGTGGGCAGCCTCCCCTGCTCCACGCCCTGCTTGGATGAGGTCCCTGCTGCTGTCGAGGTTTGGCTCGGGGAAAGCTGCTCCTCTTCTGAGAACGGAGTGGGGTGGGGTTGTCTGGCCAAGCCTAGCGGAGAGGTAAGCTTGTTTAGTGCCACTTCCAGTGAGGAGCTGAGAGCCAGAATGGAGGAGCAAAGACCAGAACAGATGGGTGCTTTGTGGTGCTCACCGTGTCTCCGAGATGCCAGCGGGCAACCCTCTTTCTGTCCAGAGTTGGCCTGCTGGCTGCTTGGGCATCCTCATTGGTGACTCAGGATCTCCGGACTGGGGCCGAATGCCTTTTAGCACCCTGGTTGGTGCTTCCATTTCTGTAAAAGAAACTTGCGTTGAGACGTGCAGCTTATGGGGAGTGGTGAGCCAATTCACCCACCGGAAATGGACGAGGTCGGCAGTCAGAATTCTGCAGTGAGCCCAGGCCTCCATTGGCGCTGCTCTTGGGTTGAGCAGGCGTCGGATGCTCTTGCAGGAGGAGCTGGCCCCTCAGCTCTGCTAGTAGGGAGGAGGGAGCACTGGTTGTGTCAGTTACTGAAACCCCAGCAGCACTCCGAGATGACCAAAAAAACTAAACTTCTTACAGAGGAGAGATTGACACCCCTTAGGGACTTGAAACAGAGTACCCATCCATCTTAACACTAGATGATGCAAACCTGAGGCTGGAAGACGGGACAGCTGATCTTCTTTGCTTTACAGACAGGAACTGGCTCTTGCTGGCTATGAATTCTGCATTTCAACTCTTGAGGAGAAAATTGAACGAGAAAGGGAATTATCGGAAGACGTTCTGTCAGGTAGGAAACCTGGCTATTTTTTTTTGGCCTTCCTTTGCCGCAGAGGGCTTTGCTGTCAGGCTGCAGTACAGGACACAGAAAGTGTGTCAGTCAGGGAAGGGGAGATGACTTGTTTCGTTAACTGGCTGCTTCTAAGGTCTCAGAGGGTTTTGAGTAAGATTTTCTTTAAATGACTTGATCACAGGTTTGCTTTGTTTTGTTTTTAACCCCATGGTGACGTGTTCATAGTATGTCGTTGACTTATATAGAACCTCTGGAAAACTCGGGGAGAAGGGATGTGTTTTCTCTGGTCTGTTGGTTCAGCTGCGGTCACAGTACAGATTAAGTCGCTTAGCTCCCTGTGTCCACGAGGGTGTGAGAGGAGTGCAGAGTGTGTCCGTCCCTCATTGTGGAGGGAGGGTGTGACGTCGTGTGGGATGGGCAGGAGGCTCTGGCTCTCAGCCATTCCAATGTCTTTTTTTTTTTTTTTTTAATTGAAGTAGTTGGTTTACAATGTGGTGCCAATCTTTGCTGTATTCAGTTATATACATACCTTCTGTTTTAAATATTCTTTTCCGTTATGGTTCGTCATAGGATATTGAGTATAGTTCCCTGTGCTGTACAGTAGGACCTTCTTGTTTCTCAATTCTGAATGTAATCGTTCGCATCTAAAGCCCCAAATTCCCAGTCCTCTCCCCTCCCCTTTGGTAACCACAAGTCTGTTCTCTGTCTTTGAGCCTGCTTCTGTTCTGTAGATAAGTTCATCTGTGCCGTACTTTTAGTTTTTATCATTTTATTTTCTGTATTTCTGGCTGCACTGGGTCTTCGCTGCTGCGGGCGGCCTTTTCTGGTTGGGGCGAGTGGGGAATACTTTCTGGTTGGAATTCCTGGGCTTCTCTGCAGTGGCTTCTTGTGGAGTGTGCGCTCGGTAGTTGTGCATGGGCTTAGTTGCTCTGAGGCATGTAGACTCTTCCTGGACCAGGAATTGAGCCTGTGTCTCCTGCACTGGTTGGTGGATTCTTAACCACTGGACCACCAGGGAAGCCCTGTGCCATTATTTTAGTCTTTCTCCATCTGACTTACTTCACTTATGTGATAATCTCTAGTTGCATCTGTGTTGCTGCAAATGGCGTTATTTTGTTCTTTTTCATGGTTGAGTATCCATTGTGTATAGGTACCATGTGTTTTTTATCCAGTCATCTGTTGATGGACATGTAGATTGTTTCCATGTCTTGGCTGTTCTTGAATAGTGCTGCTGTGAACATAGGGGTGCATGTGTCTTTTTGAATTACGGTTTTGTCTGGGGTTATGCCTAGGAGTGGGATTGGTAACTTTTTTGTTTTCTGAGGAGCCTCCATACTGTAGTCCATAGTAGTTGCACCAGTTTACATTCTCACCAGTAGTGTAGGAGGGTTCCCTTTCCTCCACAACTTTTCTAGAATTTATATACTTTTTGATGGCTTTTTGATTCTGATTGCTGTCAGGTGTTATTTCGTTATAGTTTTAATTTGCATTTCTCTTAATAATTAGGGACGTTGAGCATCTTTTCATGTGCATTTGGGTTTTTCTTCTTTTTATTTTAATTATCTTTTCTCTCATTGTGGCCAGTGGGTGCGACTCTTTGTCTTGGGGCTTCTTGTTGAGGGCGCTTCTCTTGTTGCGGAGCATGGGATCTAGAGCACAGGCTCAGCAGTTATGGTGCATGAGTTTAGTTGCTCTGAGGCATATGGGATCTAGTTCCCTGACCAGGGATAAAACCTGTGTCCCCTGCATTGGCAGGTGGATTTTTAACCACTGGACCACCAGGGAAGTCCTTCCATTCAGGTTTTTACTACGGGTTGAAATATTGGGAATTTTCAGATTGACATTCGTTCAGTGACTGATTTCATACTTCCTCTTTGCTGGGAGCTCGCACGATGATGGAGGTGGAGCACAGCTCTGGTATCTCTGAAGGCAGTTCATGTGGCTTCAGGGACTTGTCTGTCCTCCGTGGTCTTACAATTTACCCTGGAACAAAACTCAAGTTTTCCTCCATCAGCTCTGCTGAAGCTCCCCGCATCGAGGTCACCAGCTCTCCTCCCTGGCAGCTCAGCCCAGTGATCACCATCTCCTGCTGGAAATATTTTACTGGACTTCAAGGCCACCTCCCTGGTCGCTTGCGCTTGCTGGGTCACCTCTCTCGTGGGCCTCGGCGCTGTCTGGGCCACTTCCCCCTCTGCCCCTGCACCCTGGGAGGTAACCATGAGGCCTGTGCTTTCAGTACCAGTTCTACACCTTCTGCGCAGCCTGTGAGAGAGCTTGTCTACCTGACATCTTGACCAGAATGCCTGATGATCATCTCACACTTCACCTGTTCGGAATGAGTCTTTTTTTTTTTTTTTCCTGTGTTTATCTAGTTTTTCTTACTGAAGTGTAGTTGATGTGTGTTATATGTTACAGGTGGACAGTACAGTGATTCTGTTTTTAAAGGTTGTCTTGTTACTGTAAAATATTTGCTATATTCCCTGTGTTGTGCCCTATGTCACTGTAGCTTATTTGACAGCAAAGAGTTTGTCCCTCTTACTCCCTCCGTGTATATTGTACACCCCCACCCTACCCCCTGTAAATGGACCTCTTGATTTCCACCCCTCCCAGTTGCTTCTCACCAGGCAACCTGTTTTGTAACTGGCACCACCATTTACCCGGTGCTTTGGCACCATCTGTGATTCTTCCTTCCTTCCTGCTTGTAGCTCACCGGCGAGCTGTACTGAACCTGCCGTGGCAATACGTCCACGTCACAGCCATCTGGCCCTCCTGCCCCGTTGTGGTCCAGGCCAGCGTGCTTCTTGCCTGGGAGCCTGTGGTCTTTTCCTCCCAGGGGTCCCTGTTCCCTCATTCCCTTGGGAAGGTGTTCCTGCCTACCTGCCGTCTCAGGCCCGCCTCCACCTGCAGCCCCAGCTCCTCATAAAACAATCTGTTATCAAAAGGAGACTTATAGGAGACAAAATTTCCAGTCTTGCATTAGCTCACTTAATAGTCCATTTACTTAGTTAACTTCAGTCTAAATTTAGTTAATCGTGACTATGTATAAAACTTTCCTCAGGGTTCCTCCTCATAATCACTTTTTGTATCCAACCTGTCTTTCATTTTTCATCTAAATAAAGTTAACCAGCTCTTTTTTTACCAACATGTAATTTCATTTCTCATATCTTCTTTATTGAAAACATATTGTATCTCCTACTGTATTTTGAAAAGTTACTGTATTGTTTCTCATAGTTTTAATTTCATGTTTAAATTAGAATCCTCAACTCTTAATTTTAGTGAAACTAAGAAGTAAACAATTAGGTTCTCTCTTTATGTTGGCATTTTATAAATTGGTGAGCTTAAACATCAGTGGTAATTTTTTTAAAACATTTGTTTTCTTAATGTGTGTGTTTGTTTCTCAGTCGTGTCTGACTCTTTGCAACTCCATGGACTATAGCCCACCAGGCTCCTCTGTCCGTGGAATTCTCCAGGCAAGAATACTGGAGTGGGTTGCCATTTCCTTCTCTTAAGTGATAGAACCCAGGTCTCTCGCATTGTAGGCACATTCTTTACCATCTGAAATCCTGTTTTCTTATACAGAACATCTTAGGTGATATCAAACATTTTCATTAATATTTTCAAATACTTTTGATTTTTTTTTTCTAGTAATTGATGACTTGGTACCTTAGTATCTTTTAGGTAAACTTTCATTTCGTAGCTTAAATTGGCACAGCTTTAGAATCTTAAGTTACCAAACATCTGGAAAGATCACATTAAGTAGACATTTCTAAAATAATATTTTAAAGCTTTTGTCCCAAAGTTTTTATCTCATTTACCTTGATGTTTCATCATGTCTAGTTATTTTCTTGCAAGAGATTAGTAAGGTCTTATTTATTAAACCTAAATACAATAAAATATTATACTTCATTTAGATTAGATGACTCTCTTGTTCTCCAGTCTCTCAGTTGTGTCCAACTCAGCGACCCCAGGGACTGCAGCACGCCAGGCTTCCCTGTCCTTTACTGTCACCCGGAGTTTGCTCAAACTCCTGTCCATTGAGGCAATGATGCCATCCAACCATCTCATCCACTGTTGCCCCCTTTTCCTCCCGTGAGTCAGCTCTTTGCATCAGGTGGCCAAAGTATTGGATTTTCAGCATCAGTCCTTCCAGTGAATATTCAGGGTTGATTTCTTCTAGGAGTGATGGTTTCATCTCCTTGCTGTTCATGGGACTCTCAAAAGTCTTGTCCAGCACCACAGTTGAAAAGCATCAATTCTTCGACACTCGGCCTTTATGGTCCAACTCTCACATCCATACATGACTACTGGCAGAACCATAACTTTGACTATGGACCTTTTTCAGCATAGTTGACATCTTTGCTTTTTAATACATTGTCTAGGTTCATCATAGCTTTTCTTCCAAGGAGCAAGTGTCTTTTAATTTCATGGCTGCAGTCACCATCTCTGATTTTGGAGCCCAAGAAGATAAAGTCTGTCAGTGTTTCTAGTTTTTTTCCCCATCTATTTGTCATGAAGTGATGGGACCAGATGCCATGATCTTTGCTTTTTGAATGTTGAGTTTTAAGCCAACTTTTTCACTGTCCTCTTTCACCTTCATCAAAAGGTTCTTTAGTTCTCTTCCCTTTCTGCCATTAGGGTGTCATCTGCACATCTGAGGTTATTGATATTTCTCCGTGCAGTGTTGATTCCAGCTTGTGCTTCATCAGCTGGCATTTCACATGATGTACTCTGCATAGAAGTTAAATAAGCAGGTGACAATATACAGCCTTGACGTACTTCTTTCCCAATTTGGAACCAGCCCATTGTTCCATGCCTGGTTCCAACTGCTGCTTCTCGACCTGCATACATATTTCTCAGAGGCAGGTAAGGTAATCCCTCCCATCTCTGTAAGAATTTTCGTTTGTTTTGATCCACACAGTCAAAGGCTTTAGTGTAGTCAGTGAAGCAGAAGTAGATGTTTTTCTGGAATTCCATTGCTTTTTTAATGATCCATCATA